AGAAAGAAAGAAAGAAAGAAAGAAAGAAAGAAAGAAAGAAAGAAAGATGTAGTGTCCAGAACTGAATACGACACTACAAATGTGGTCTATCCAAAGCAAAATATGGTGGGACTATCTGCTCATTAGTTTCTGGATTCTGTACCTCTTAACACAGGCTAAAGTTTCATTATGGACGCTAGGTGGCGCAGTGGATAGAGTGCTGGGCCTATAGTCAGGAAGATTCATTGCCCTGAGTTCCAATCTGGTTTGATACTTACTTAGCTGTGCAGCGCTGGGCAAGTCACTTAACTTTAATTGCCTCAGTTCCTCATCTGTAAAATGAACTGGAGAAGGAAATGACAACTCCAGTATCTTTGCCAAGAAAACCCCAGATTAGATCATGAACAGTCAGACATGACGAAAATGGCTAAACAACAACAAAAGCTTCATTAGCTTCTTTGATGGCCACATCATACCATTGACTTACACTGACTTGAAATCCCCTTAAACTAATTCCACATTTTTTCAGATGAATTGCTAACTAGCCAGACTTCCCCCATTTTGTATTTGTGAGTTGATATGAACTTAAGTATTAAAAAGGGATCAAAACGTATTGAAAAAAAGCACAGAATTTGGAATCAGACAGTCTAGTTTCAAATCCTGATTCTGCCACTTAACTCTCCGAATGACTTTGGGCAAGTTCATTTAATTTCTTTGTGCCTCAACTGCTTCCTCTCTTAAAATAATAGGTGGCACTATATTGGATGATCTCTAACCTCTAATAAATTATCATGCCAACCATTTGTACTTATTAAATTCCATTTTAACAGATTCAGCCTTAAGTTAAGTCCATTGGTGTTCTGTTTTCTGTTTTTGTTTTTTTTTTTTTTGGATCATGACTGTCATTAAATTTGTTAGCTATCTCTCCTAGCTTTGTGTCATCTGCTATTTGATAAGAATTCCATTTTTGGTTTCATGCAAGTCCGTGATAAAAACGTTAAATAGCAGGGGACCAAGCATAGATCCCCAGGGTCACTTCACTAAAAATCTACAAATGTGGCATCATTCAACTAGTTCCCAATGTCTAGTCTACAAAAAAGTACAAAGGTAAAGTAAAAGCCTACTACAGGTGAATAGAGTTAGTTTATCCATAGTAATATAACAAACATCAAAATTATTATTTTCTAAGATAAAGTCAAGGGTTTCCTAAAGCAGTGAGTTTGATCATTTGCTTAGTCAAACACCAAACTATTCTAAGATATCAAATTAGATATTACTTATATAATGTAATGGAGAATCCTCTAGAATAATTTGAACATTTCTGATGATTTTCATTCTCATGAGATCCATTAAACCTTACACTCACAATGTACTACTTGTGAATGATCAGTCTATTTAATCATACAGTAAAAGTTAGCTTTTTAATAAGTTAAAGGTAAAATTTTTAAAGTTGATCATGAGAAAATTTGCCAAGTCACATTCACTTTATACAAATTTATGATTGATTTTTAAATAAGGCAAACTGTGAGGGACTGTCTGATGTTGGCAGCTGCCAGTTGGGTGCTGTGGCATGGGTAAGGTAAGATCTGGGTATTTTGGAAGTCGAGGCAGGGACTGTGGTAGGCAGAGTCGTGTGTACTGGGATGGGCTGGATACGGAGAAGCCATGAGGCAATTGGGCAGTGCTATGAGATAAGCTGGGTGCAAGGAAGTAGCCGAGCCTGAGCTCCTGAGGCAAGGGGCGGTGCCACGTGGGAGTGGGATGGCAGAGGACTGAGTTCCCTCTGCTTAGTCCCCTCCCTATATGCAACGTCATCCCCAGATGCCTCTTGTGACCTTCCTGACTTTGTGCAGCACTGACCCAGTCCCCTCCTGAGTCTGACTTCCTAGGTCTCGTACTCTTGTCTATGCGTTAATCCCAGATGCCTCCTTCCTGTATCCAATCCTAGCCTCCTACGTCACTCCCTCCCCCCTTGGTGTGCTAAACTCAGACAGCCCCTTCCGGTAACTGACCCTACAATCATTGGCTAGTAGCGGGCTGGGGAGGAGGGGCTAAGTAGGTACTTAGGAACAAGCGTGGTCAGATCACACGTGTGCGCTCTCCCCTGGCTGCTGCCTGTTGCTCTGGCCTTGCTGCTTGGGCTTGCTATGATGGTTTGCTGTGTTGGCCTCTGAATAAAGCTCTGGTGTTGGTGCCTCCTGATGGCTCTTCTCTGTGTGGTGATCCAGCTGAGGACCGAGGACCCAGGCGTGGGTAAGACTCTGGTGGTGTACTTCTTTTAAGGGAAGTAGGTACTGGCGCACGACTGGCAGAAGGCCAGCGTGCGGCCCGTATAGCAAACTTGTAATGTTAGAATGCACTATGGCTATTTGTCCACACTGGTTCATTTATGTCCATGTATCACATTTGAGTGACACAACCAATAAAGTCAGTCTTCAGGAAAAAAAAAAGGAACAGGATAAAACAAACCTTCTAGTCTTAAATCATAATGAAAAGCATTAAAAGAGAAAACAAAAATCAATTAAACAATTTGACATGAAAATATATCAATGATTACACATAAAGCTGTTGTTTCTTTAATTTCAAAATAGTGTTCTTTAGGATAATACAAGATCCAGTTAATATAAAATTCAAAGACAGCATTACCAATTTTTTTAAAAAGGGGTTAGAAATCCCCTCAAAAAAAAAAACTTTAACTGTAAGTTACAGAACTTAATCACAATTTCCATAGTATCCAACAGAACATTTTGTACATAGAAACTCTGAAACTGGTGCTCAAAAGTACAAGTTCACATTTATCTGCTTTTATTTTTGCTTCATTTTTATTATGCAAGGTGCTTACAAAATGATTGTCTGAAGTAGACAAAAGAGAATTTTGAGAATATAAAAATGAGATCCCACTATCCAACTAATGTTCTCTGCTACAGAGACATACATTACAAAAGTGCTGATATTTCTATAGAAAATAGCAGAATATATTTAAATATCAGACATCATTCAGTCAAAAATTATTTTCAGGAAAAAAATGAAATAATCCCATAATTCCAGGTCATTAGGAGACTTTATATGTCTATACAGATGATACTCATAATCTGTAATGTTTCATATATCTAGTGAGTATATGGATGGGTATGTATAAATACTGAGATTCTGATTACGTATAAAATACTACAAAGCTCTTATATTTGGTTTAACAAATAGAAGGCATTCTTTAGGAAAAGAGGGGAAAAGGATGTTTATTAGCACTCTATTTTAAATTCAATAGCTCAAAAGTCCTCAGTTTGTAAAATGCATGGAGTGAAGACACTTTGTTGTTGCTGTTTTGATTACTTTAAATTCTGCAATACATGAAATAAGAGAGCTAGGTGGCTCAGGGAGTAGAACGCTGGGCCTGAAGTCAGGAAGACCTGAGTTTAAATCCAACCTCAGACACTTACTAGGTGTGTGACCCTGGACAGGTCACTTAAACCTCTGTTTGCCTTAATCCATAGGAGAAGGAAATGGCAAACCACTCCAGTATCTTTGCCAAGAAAACCCCCTGGACAGTATGGTCCATGGGGTCACAAAGAGTTGGACATTACTGAAAAACAACATCAACAATACATGAAATAGCTATCAACTATGTCTCATGAAAAGCAAATGGTAACAGACGGTACTTCTGTCTTTGGAGCCTGTGGTCCTGCATTTCCAAGACCAATGTAGCAAGGTCTTTTTTAAAAGACTATCTATGCTAAAAGGTGACTGGAAAGTGGCCAGTTAATTAATCTGATCAACCACAGTCAGACACACTGTACACTGATCCAACATTGTGATGTCATTTTGGTCCTCTTTGATTATAAAGGACAACAATGAGGAATGGGAATGGGGCAAGCAATAAATTAGATACATAGCAAGAAATATCAATCCAAAAATGTATTTCCGTAACCTCTACAAAAAAAATTACATGAAACCAAACTTAACAATCTGGAAAAATCAAGACACAGTAGGAAACACAGAGTAGGAAAACATACTCCTCATTCTAACAGAACATACTCAAATGTTGTAAGTCTCAAATCAGCTATAACTCTCTTTGTCTTTTCCTACTTTCTTAATATATAAGGTAGGTATCAACTACACATGGTATATATAGTTGATGACTTGGTTAATTTCAAGACTGAAAATCTTGAAATCTAGTCAAGTCACAATGGTAGAAATAGGAATTCTCACTGCATTGTTAAGGAATGGTTTGTAGTAAGTGCCCTTTATATAAATTGGTTAAAATCCAACAGAAACCAAAACAACTTCAAAAATGCAAACACCCACAAAAAATAGCAGTCTCAAATTAAACTGCGAATTTACCAATGCTGCTCCTCATGTTGGCACTGGCATTTCCTAACTCTGAATATACTGTATCAGCTTCATAAGTCTTTACTTTTATCAACATAAAACCTCATAATGAAACCAAAAATACTATAATCAGCTATAAACAAGATACACATTTTGGTAAATCTTAGCTGATGTATTTCATTTTCTAAATACTGTATTTCTTACTGCTTTAAAAGGGCTATGTATATTTAATTGTAACTGATTAAGAGTACAGAGTTTTCATCTTGACCTCTAAAGTTTGGTATGAAACTAAATTCTTCAAGTAATAAATGTGGAAAGCCTCTGAGACCCGAGTTCCCACAATTTTGTTTTTAAGACATCCTTGAATTTGTTCTCTCTAATTTAAACTACAAAGAACAGTTCATTTTAAACGTTAATAGACAAATAACAAAAATAAATTTTCTTCTTTAAATACTCATTTAGAAATAAATGTGTTTGGAGAAAGGAGGCTTCTAGGAATGGTTATCACAAATCTAGCTAAGAAGTAAGAGAAAAAATGAATTTTTGTGTTTTTTTTCTTTCAAAATCTCCCATTAGTTAAAATAATCTATTACAGAAAAAAAATACACAATTTCACACATAGAACCATACACATTTAGTTATGATATGGAGTTTTCAAAGATTCTTTAAAAAGAGAGAGGAAACAGTGCAAGTAACTGGGTTGTTTGATGAGAATCTTGTGATGCTTTTCCACCCCCTTAGGAGAATTTTTTTAAAAAACAACAAAAACTCCAGTTTTGAACAAAATAAAATAAGAGATAAATATTTACGATGGGAAACAAATTCCACAGCATTCCATACAGATTTCTAAACAGTCTGATGATTCACAACAGGCATCCATTATACCACAATCCATGTCACAAGGGCAGTTACAGTCATCTCCTACTTCATCACCACAGCAACAGCAGCAGGCCTCCGACGCACAGATGCCACATGGTGCTTGTCCTAATACGATATTGCAGAGGGTCAGGAACTCACAGAACAAGCAGGCCAGGATACAGTGAACACAGCAATCTTCATAATGTTCATTCAATTGTTAAGCATACCATAGAGAGAAAGGGAAAGAAAAATAATAGTAATACATGTCAATAGAGAAATAATGACAACAGATTAAAAAAAAAAGGAGTAGCAATCCATGTGCCATCCAAGGGTCACTTTTTCCTATCAAATGCTAAAAAGGAACAAAGATCATCTTCATTAATCATATGGCTCCTGAAATGTCATAATTAGAAAATGGAATCATTAGAGGATATAAGGAAAAAGATTTATTTAAGCAGTCTAAAAGTGAAAGGAGCTGCATTTTCTCTTATCACCCAGGGACCTAAGTTTCTGATCAGGGAGTCTCCCCCAATATCCAGCCTGACCCAAATTCCACACTGCAGTTCTTGTGCCATTATCTCCCCATGCTCATACTCCTTCATATCCCTCACCCACCTCAATCTCATTTACCAAGCTTTCCACCACTTGGGAGCAGTAATCGAATCAACACTATGTCATTGCTTAGAAAGGGCATGCCAATTACTCTACACTAACTCTACACTCTACACTAACTCACTAACTCTACACTAACTAACTACACTCTATCACTAACTTGTTCTCTGAACAAAATGCTTAAATAAGCTCTCTCAACCTGAAGTAGTCCCTTTCCTAAATGACTTTACACTTTAATAAGGAAAAATAGCCCATCTAAGGGAGCAGAGGCTAAGAAACTGTCTTACTTTTTCCTTTTTGTTTTATTTATTTGGGTGAGAAGGACATCCCCAGAACCTAGCTAGAAATTCTAAGTACTTAATGAATGTTTTTTCACTGATTGCTTCATTCACCCTGGGTAGCAGTGAGCTTTCTTCATTGGAGGCCTTTAAAAAGAGGCTGGGTGACCACATGTTTCAGATGGTTAAGAGGATATTCCTGTTGAGGTATATGACTAGCTGATCTTTGGGATTCTTTCCAAATCTGACATTCTGTGATTACAAATCATTTTTTACAATTATCAGAATGAAAATGGGGCAGTGATGGAATTGCCAGGCCTATTTTCAGTTATAAATGTGATTCTGTTTTCTTTTTCTTTTATGCCACTATCTGCTCTAGGTTTAATTTCAAAGTGAGTCTTTTGATGGCATGGATAGGTTATGTTACTCTTTAATGATTTTAAAGGGCCTATAGTGTTACGAACTTGCAACATTTTTTGTAATAAATTGTTGTTGTTCAGTTGTTTTCAGTCATGTCTGACTCTTCATGACCCCATTTGGAGTTTTCTTGGCAAAGACACTGGAATGGTTTGCCATTTTCTTCTCCAGCTCATTTTACAGATGAGGAGCTGAGGAAAACAGGTGTCTTGTCCAGGATCTCACAGCTAGTAAGAGTCGGAGGCTAGATTTGAACTTAGGAAAATGAGTCTTTCTGACTTCAGGCCTGGCATTCTATCTAGTGCACCATGTAGCTGTCCCTTGTAATAAATGAGTAATGTTAAATAGACAACAGCTCTTTAAGCAAAAAAACAAAAAAAAAAAAAACAAAAAACAATGTACCAAATATATAGCATATATTCTGCCTCTTTTAGTGAAACCCCAAGTCATACTTTCTAATATATATTTCACTATCTTCCTCTGTGTTTACCTTTGCATTAAAATCATGAAATGCTGATATACTGTTCATTTCCAATTCCACTTGGAACAATTTACATTTCAAGATTTATAGAGGCAGTTTACAATAAATCACCTGGAGATAAAGAAACAACTCAGCTTTCATAAAACCCTGATGAATACCTAGAGACATTGCTGAGTGTTTGGTAATTGTGTTTATTATTGTCATTACTTAACACTTATTACAAACCCATACGCCATTTTTTAAAGCAACAGCCCAGTTGTGGCAGGCTATTTCTAAGACTGGCTAGGTTTTACAACAAGCCTATGAGAATACTGGCTGAATCCCACAGGTATTAAGAGTGGGTGTCAATGTATAGACATTGGTAACATAAATATATATATTACTTAATATAATAGTGGGTATTCATTCTAACTTGGCAGTACCCAGGCTGGCTTCTAATTAAGCAAGAAATTTTATAAGATGTTATGCACTCAGATCAGAATCTGGTTCTACCAGAAAGATCTGGTGTGGCTTAGTTCTGGAGTGATGAGCAAATATCTATTCCCATGTAAATAAAGAACATTAAACATTGCCACAACAAGTCAACTCAAAGTTCAATTCAGACACACAGTGAAGTAGCCCTTGAAATATATGAAGCGATGGTAAACAGTTAGTATCTTGTTCTCAGAGAACTTATATATTGATAATAAGACTAAAATCTTTATGTAGAAAACTAGCACAAATATAAAGTCCAAAGAATGACTTGGCATATCAGGTAAAGGACAGCTCTCTTATGCAATAGGGAATACTACAGGTCAAATCACTTTCCCTAAAAACATAACCAAAATGTTAAAAATCTCAAGTGATATTCAACAACATAATGGGTTGCTAACTTGCATTGGTATAAAGAATTTCTGTACTGGGAGTTCTATGTACCAATGAAATCATAAGCTTGGACCAAAAAGAAAAAAAAAAGGCTAAGTTAGCAAGCTTGATAAATTCACTTGCTCTGAGACTATTCATTCATCTATAAATTAAGAGGTTTGAACTAGAAAACTTTTAAGTTCCTCTCAGCTTCAAAAACCTCTATGGTCCTGCTTATTCAAATATAGTTCAGAGTAGAAGATTGATATGAGCATGAAAGTTCTTGTCAAAAAATGTAGAACTTGAATAAGACTCTAAAGGAAAAGTAGGAAGCGGGTTAAAAATAAAAGTTTAGATTTGGTGTTATGTTAAGGAACCCTTGGTTTTCTGAGAGGGGACATAGGGCAGATATGATAAAAGCGGAATTTAAAGAAGATGAGTGTGGAATTCAATTCAATTCAATATATATCAAAGACATAGAAAAAACTCTCAAAATCCAACACTCATTTCTATTTAAAAAATTAGAATGCATAGGAATAAATGAATCTATGTTACAAATTATAACTTAAGGTATTAGAAGCATCTATCTAAAACCGGGAGCCAGCATGATATATAAAAAAGATAATCTAGAGGCCTGTTCAATAAGATTTGAATAAAATGAAGATGCCAATATCATCACTACTATTTGATATAGGTCTAGATATGCTAGTTATAGACTAAGACAAGAAAAAAGAAAATAAGAGAATAAGCATGGGCAAAGAAACAAAACTGTTGCTTTCAGCAGATGATATGTTTACTTTTAAAAAATCCTATTGAATCAACTAAAATTTAATTGAAACAGTTTAAAACCTCAGCAAAGTAACAAGAGATGAAATAAATCCACCTAAATTATCTAAATTTCTATATATTACCAATAAGACTCAGCTATATGAATAAACTACAAAATAAACTACAAAATAAACAAAAATAAACTACAAAACACTCTATGGAAATCAACAGACCTAAATAACTAGAATAGGCTGAACCAATATAATAAAGATGGCAATATTATCTATATTAATTTACTTATTCAGTGCTGTTCCAATCAAACTACCAAAGTATCATTTTATAGAGGTAGGGGGAAAAAATTCTTCTGAAAAAACAAAAGTCAAGAATTTCAAAGGAAATAATGGGAAAAAGGTTAAAAGGAAGGCCACTTAGCCATGCTTGATTTCAAACTATACTACAAAGCATTAATCATCAAAATGATTTGGTGCTGGTTAAGAAAGTAATTGATACATGGAATATATTAGGTGCCTAGCATCCACAAGCATATAAATACAGTAGCACAGTATTTGATAAAACTGAAGACCTCAGCTACTGGGGGTAAGAATTCATTAACTGCTAGAAAAACTGGAAAGCAATCTGAATGAAATTCGGGTTTGGCCCAACACTATGTACTCGATGCATGATTCAGACATAAAAGCTCCCATCAGAAACAAACTAGCAAAGAAGAAATTACCTTTCAGATCTACATATAGAATCCATGATCAAACAAGGGATAGGGAGGATGATAGAAGATAAAATGGACAATTTTGATTATATGAAATAAAAAAAGGGTTTTTCACAAACAAAACCAATGCAGCTAAAAATACAAGAGAAGCAGCTAATGGGGGGGGGGGGAAGGAATACAACTTTACAGTAAGTTTCTCTGAAAAAGACTCATTTCCAATATAAGGACCTGATTCAAATCTATATGAACAAGAGCCATTCCTCAAAAGATAAATGCAAGGATATAAACAATTTTCAGAGGAAGAAAACCAAGTTATAAATAGCCATATTTTTTAAAATGCTCCAAACCACTAATAATTAGGGAAATGCAAATTAAAGTAACTCTGAGATTCTACCTCATATCCATCACACTGGCAAAAATCACAAAAAGGGAAAGTAAAAATTGTTGGAGGAACTGCAGGAAAATAACCACACCAAATGCACTATGCTAGTGAAGCTGGTCCCACTGGGGGAACTGGTGCAGTTACTCTGTAAAACAATTTGGACTATACCCAAAAATATCAGGAGCATACTCAGTGATACCACTACTAGGTTTATACCTCAAAGAGATCAAAAAAAGAAGAAAAAGGACCCATAGGTAGAAACATGTTTTTACCTACTCCTTTGGATATTTATAAATACATATACATATAGAGCAAAGAATTGGAAACTGAGGAGGCATGTTATTGCACGTTGACAAATGACAAAATGATGGGTTTCAGAGAAACCCGAGAAGATTGTATGAACTGATGCTGAGAGAAGTGAGAACTGGGAGAATAATTTAAACGATACCTACATTAAAAAGAAAGACAGTTTTGAAAGATTTAAGAACTTTGATCAAAGCAATGACAACCATGATTTTAGAGAATTGATTATGAAGCATGCCACCTACTTCCTGAGCGAAGTGATGGACCCAAGACACAAAATAAGATGTTTTTGGATTTGGCCAATGTAGTAATTTGTGTTACTTGACTAGGCATATTGGTTACAAAGGTTTTGTTTATATTTTCTTCCAATAAGGATTATGGGAAAGA